CTGCCATTTCTGGGTTGCTTTTGAAGAGTGGTTGCATAAAACTTTATCAAGATGCTCAATACAATGTGCTGCACTCTGCTTGGCCTGGATTGTTACTGGGAAAATTAACCCAGCACTGTGATGGTTGCAACATCTTCCAGCTCTCAGTGCACTCGTATGTGATTCTGAAATTCCCTGAATTCTGAAATTCATCTGAAATTCCCATCACCAGTGGGCCTGATGCTGATGGAGTGGGAAGGGGTAGGAAGTAGAAGCAGGTCCCTGTGCCTGCCTCTTCCCTCACAGCCTGGCTTCCTAGATTCTCAGGGCTCTGCACACCTGGTCTGATGCCAAATATTTTCTGCTTAACCACAGGGGTTTTCTTGAACAAGCAAGCTGTGGGGAGAGCAGAGCGGGAACTTCTTCTCTGAGGTGCCTCTGGACACCCTACTACTGTATACAACCCTTCAGTATAGGCTTGCCCCAAAGGTATAGCCTGCAGCTGTCTGACAGGCTGCTCATATCAAGAAGTCAAGCATTGCGCTGGAAAACAGACTTGTCTTCGTGTGGTAAGTTTGTTCTCCTAAACCTTGATCCCCAAACCACTGAAATCAACAGTGTTTTGAAGTCAATTTCCAGTGATTTCCATGGTCTGGAGATTAAGTTTCACTGCTTTTCCAACCCTGGATCTCAACGGTTCCTGACTGCCTCACTCTGGCTCTTTTTTTCTCTAGTGCGGGGAAAAAAAGATGCTATTTAACGTGATGAGATCTAAATAACTGGGCACCGTGCATGGAAAGTACAGCTCTATTGTTAGCCCCATTTCACAGACAAGGAAGCTGTATCTGAAATGATACATCCAAACGGCCGCAAAGCAGATAATAGAATCCAAGTTTCATTCTGTAGATATCCTGGTACAACAAAATTTTTCAGCCTCGTTGTCATTTGCAAATATTTCCAAATATCTTGCCTTATCCTTAGTCTCTTGTAAATACAACCCTGAACTGGAAATGCTTCATGTGCACTTTCCTATTACATTACTTTCATTTTCTTTTCTTTATTAGTTGTAGTCATTAAGAGTTTGTGAATGTCGTGGTTTAAATCAATTATGGGAAAAGGTATACTAACAGGTAATAGAGCCTTTTTATTGTCGTGATGATTGAGGCAGAATACTACAGAGAAATTGCACTGGTATTTTCAAGCAGAAATGGAGTATTTTTTTCCAAAACTGAACTCACAAACCTCAACATTCATAACTTTGACTGAGAATCAGGCTCCTAAAAAAAAGAGACTGAGACCCTTCTCAGATTTTCCATTACTAAGGAAGCATCCTTACTTCAGCAGCCAGTCAGGGAAAGCAGCTGGAGAGCTACATTTTACGTGACACTTTGGAAGTGTAGTTTTTCAGTGTTTATCAACCACTGTATTTTCAGCTTGAAGGTACCAATGTTTTTGTGTCGCACAATAAATTACAGAATGTTTACATGCAATTAGGTATGTGCCTACGGAGGAGAAGACACTGAGAAACAGGATTTTCCAGAGGCAGTAGCTAGTTTAGAGGCCCAGAGCCACTGCAGCAGCTATTGTCAGGGAGGACTGAGTGGCAGTTCTAATTACCAGTGTCTACACAGGTTTCTCATAGGAAGATACAAGCTGTCACGATCCCTTGCCAATCACATGAGAACTGACCTAGGGAGAGCATCAACTGAAGGTGAGTGTACATGTCCAATAAATTCAGTCCCCACTGCATTAGCTTATTTTTAGGATTGTCCTGAGAAGACATTCAGCCTGTATCATAAAACCTTCAACTGAGCAGAAAATGTACAGAATGATGATGACTTTAAATTTGGGATCATGCCCTCTGGGGCATGAATTCATAGTACTTCGGGTATGATCTGATAATGTACTGAATGCTGAAGGAGCATAGAATTTCTAGATGAGTTCATAAAGACAGAGCATTTATGCAATGTCAGGGCTCTCCTGATCAAAGGAAGCAAAAGGAATTTTATTCTTAATTTTACTGCAAATGTTTTTCTTAATTTGAAATAAAACCATGCTTTCTACATAAGATATTTCTCAGAAATAGGATGGTTAAAGTTAGCACATAAATTTATGCATGCAACTGATAACGCCACTTTCTGATTTTTCACCTTCTTCCACTGAATGTATTAGAGACTTGTTCTTGAACATAGTTTAGACAATACATATGTCACAAGCAATGATGAATCAAAGAAAGAAAGCATCCAGAAAGGGAAGCTAACTAGACAGGTAGGCCCTCATCAGCATCACATTCTGTCCCGTAGCTACAATAACAATAATTGAGTCAGACACATGGATTTTAAGTGCCTCTTAAAGAGGAAAGTTAGGGAGAGACACTGTGGAAAGAAAATTATATACTGAAATGTGGCATCTCAGTTTTGCAGCTGCCAACCTCGTTCTGTCACTAGCCATAGCCATTGCCTTTTCTTCTAAACTTAGCAGGAGATGGGTGAAACTAAAGAGAAGCAGCGCAGGTGCTTCAGCTGATAAGGAGGTGTGGATCCAAGTCCCTCTGTGCAATCAAAGCAAACCTTTAATCAGTTTTAACTCTTGAGAGAGCTATTTTATTTCTGTGGACAAAAGATGACACCAAGGAGATGTGTGTCTGCCTCATGTGGGTGGCTGCACTCCTGGGATGCTCCTTGACAGCCCTTCATGCACCAGTAAGGGTTTTTTCCTAGTTTTGCCAGTTTGACACTTACGTTTTGTCCATCTTGGGCAGCAAGCTTCTTCACTGTCAAGTTTCCCAATGATGGAAGGAAAATATTCGTCAAAAAAAGGAGAAAATCTAGTCTCTGGTTCTGCTGCTAATTAAATGTGGTCTTTTAGCATGTGGTCCTCAACCCCAAGTCAAACCTGGTGGATTTCAACTCTGAAGTGGTGAAAAGTACAAGCTTATTATAGCAGAACTTGATGTCACTGGTACCAGTTTTCAGGCTTGTAATACTCTCGTTGAATTTGTGTTTGTGGGTTTTTTTAAGTGTCAGCTTTGGACAGCATGAGACTGTGTATGAATATTAACTTCCCCTTTTTTTTTCCCTGCCCTTGGGGTTGCAGAAGAAAATGTGAAGACATGACCCGACATTCAAAACAAAACGCAAAGACCGAAACAAACCATCCACCATTTGTGATTTTATTTTTCAGTGTTTGTTGGGTTTTTTTTTAAATGCAGTCTTATACTTAAAAGCCAGTTCTCTGCTTTTTGATCTGCTGCCTTGGGATTTTTGAGTGCTTTGCCTTTCCATGTGACAGTTACCTGTCAGTTACCCAAATGATTTGGAGAGGTGAACAAAATGCAGATGTAGATAATGGAAGATAGGTATATCCCCCCCAGTTGCATACTCTGAAGTAACCTAGACCTTGGCATAAGGGCATGAAAAGTGTTTATAGTGCAAAGGACTGCTGATGTAGCGCCTGGGGACTCTGTGTAAGATCACCAAACCCACTATGGTTTTGACCTGTAAGTAGTAGTCCAGGTACAGAGTTACCTGCTGAATGTCTTTCACCCTGGAGGGATGCAGTTGGTTCCTTCCAACACAGAAGCTGGGAGTGATTTAACATGAGGTGTGGATAATCAGGAGAGAAATAGGATTATATCCTAGCTGACAATATAGGTGCAGCTTGTACTTACGTTATGGGTGAGCTTCACCTGGGGGGTAAAATATTCCCTGCATCTAACAGGATAATGCTTGTTGATGCTGGACTATTGAACGAGCCACTGACTGCAAGTAGAAGAAGATCCTAAGGAAACAGGGGAAATGTGGATGTTTGTGTCATATACAGAAAATTTGGCCTGGCCTGCATGCCAGATGATATCCTTCCATCTGGTGAAGCTGAAGATTCAGAGAACAAGGATAGAAGGAAGGGGACCATACCTCAGTTAGATCTAGGCACAATATGTAGTTGAATGAAATAAAATATTTCTTGAAAAATGATTGATGAAGACTAGAGCTCGTAACTCCTAGGGTAGCTTTGTCACTTTTATCTTCAGGGTGGAGATCTCTACATGCCGGGCTGCATTCCTTCATAGCATCTGAATCATTCTTATTGTCTCCACAAACTGAAAATGAGAAACAGACTGGCAAGAAAGTTAAAATTTTCAAGGTGGAAAAGAGCAGGGAATAGCCTGATCATTCATTATTTTTTTATTTTTTATTTAGATTAAAAGTTCTTGTTGCATTTTTGCAGACACTGATACACTAGATTTTATGATTCCTCTATTTAAAACAAGACTAGAGTTTCCTATATTTTGAAGAGAAATAAGAGCACCTGAAAAAAGGGCTTACTCCAGTGCCGTCTATATGCAGCCTGGCTTTCTCTGAGCTTCACGGGGAAGAAATATTTCCAAGGCACCAGTGGTTGCCATATCCTGTATGCAAAAAGATTCCATAAATGTCTGAAAACAGATGGAATGCAACTTTGGAGGAATAAATGGATTTTTAATTTTCTGAACATTTTGGATTCCATCTGGTTGAAGTAACTAAGTGACCTAGTAGAATACTTTACCTTTCTTGTATAATAGATGGAAACACAGCTTGCACTGCTATTGACTGACACATTCCACCTTAATACACAGGTTTTACTTGCATATACATTTGCTTACTTTTAACTCTTTTGACTGCACGAGAAGGAATACCTGATGCACCTCTTCCTCAAGTCATGGCCCTCTCTCAAGTCATGATTTAGCCTTTCAGCTAGTAAGGAGGAACTCTAAACCACCTGCCTAAGCCCACCTAACAGTAGTGGGAGATACTGTACCTTAGATTAACGCACCTTAGACATACATTAGATAACAAACCTTAGACTCATCTCCTTAAAATACTCTTAATTTTCTGTCTTGTTTAAAGGCAAAGAATAAAAAGGAATAGAGACTGTGTACAGGTACCAGTAAAGTGGATTATTTGTGTTTATTGCCCTTTTTGTTACTGCCATTTAGAATGCTGTTAAGCAAATAAGAGTAAATACATGTGTGTTTTTAGCAGGAAATGAGCTTTTCTCTATGAATAGGGAATACAGGCAACTTGAACTCACAAGAAAGGAGTCATAAAGTATATTACTCTATATAAAAAATGGAAGACTTCAGTTTATGGAAAAGACACTGGTTTTGTGCCTGCTTCAATGAAAGCTAAAATACAAATCTGTTCACTCTCCATGAAAGAAAAGGTGGGTCTTTTAAATCATTCATATTAAGCCTGTCTCTTATGAGTTGCACAATTTGTGAAGCTGATTCTTAATGATTGCCATTCAGAAAGTTCTACTGAGAATAACTATTTCCGTGCTGATAAATTGATAAACACTAGTTAGTAGGATATTGACAATGTGTTTGGTATTAGTTTTCATACTTTTTGGCACTTTGAACATTTCTTGGGGTTTTTGCCATGAATATGGATGAAACATTAAAAAAAAAAAAGGGTAATAACCACCCTTTTTTATTTTTTTAAGGGACAGTAGTGAGACTGTTTTCCACTTCTGGAAGCAAGTATATTTGTTTCATTAAAAAAATTTGCATTTTAGGATCACAAGTTTCAGTCTAGCACAAAGCCTGGAGTTGTTGTAAGATTTCACTTTTGCCTGACACATGCTATGAGAAAAGTGTGTTTGCTCTGTCCTTAATAGGACAAAATATAGCATTTCCACTACACATAATTTTTATATAAATCTCTGGTCACTGTAACCCCGTAATTCAAAGTAGGCTTGTTTCTTCTGCCTGAAATTTGTGATTATGAACTTCTGACAGCTGGCAGGAACACACACTGATGCTGCCAGCAAAACTCTGGACACTGTGCAGTCATGTTTTGAGCATTTTGAGTGTCTTTTGCTGGGATCCTGTAATAAGCTTGCCTTATATGGCATCAAGACAATTGAATTCTCTTTTGCATTGTACGCTTATGCAATTGCATTACTGTCTCTGAAGCCTTTTTGCCCTCATAAATAATTAAAACTGTTGTTACTCAAATTTGGACTTAGGAGACATATTAAGCCTCCTTATACAGAATGCAAGTGGCTGAAAGACCGGCTGCAAGCATGGAGGATTTGCTGGTTTCTGTTTTTCTGAGAGTGCAGAGTTTTATGAGAGAAGTCTTATCCTACTAATAGTACTGATCACATGTTCTCTCGTTTGTGTAATTGAGGAGATTACCAATATAATGAAAACAGCTCCATCTAAGTAAGTTCTCTACCCACAGTTAATAAAATAGTATCTACCCTCCGAGACCTGGAATTTCTCTGAAAACAGTTTTAGTTAAACAAAGCGTTTTGTGTACCAACAGTAAATGTGATATTTATTTTTTCATTATTCATGAAACAACTTTAATGTCACTGCTGATTTTCTTGGTAGGATGTTCAGCTCCAGCATACCGGAGCTCATGCTGAGTTGTAGCTGAAGATGTCATTCACAATAAACATGAGCTGCTGTGACAATACGATGGCAGAAGGTGAAGAATCTCTTTTCTTGTGCAAGGGCGTGCATGTGTCTCTCTGTGTGTGTGAGTGGGAGAGAGAGATTTGATTGTGTTTACAAGATTCATTCGCAACACAGCAGGCAGTAGTCACATTGTAATATTCACCTTAACACAGATAATTTGATTTTTCAACATGGTTATCATGCATTTCGACATAACGATACATGAAAATATATGCTTTAGCAGTGCATTTTAAACAAGGTTGCACACTTTAAGTCGGAATATATTAGAGGTGAGCATCGATTTTTGCAATTGCTAGAGTCCTGGAAAGTGTCATTCAGTGTTCAGCATGTGTTACAAAATTACTGAGAGGAAAGCAAATTCTAATAGTAAGTCTGAGGGACTACTACCATTTCTAGGCTGAACTCAACAGGATGGGCTTCCCCAAATTTGACATCTAAAGCTGTACAAGTTCTTCCCATTTGAGAGCCTTGGGTACTGATGGAATTTCTTTTCTGAGTTCCAGGTTGTCTCCTGACTGGAAAATGAAGAGTCAAAGAGACCCATGGCCTTTCTGCCCTTTACACTGAAAAGAAAATGAACTGCCTGGTCATAGGATGAATGTTGTCTTGGGTCACCATCAAGATCTTGACCTGCCTAACTGATGTGACACAAGGAAAGAGGTATGTTGATGCTCATCAAGAGCAGAGCCTTATTACTACATCCTGAAGCAGCCTGAGAGATAAGGGGATCTATCAGCAATTTAATTACAGTCTTAACACACTAGCCTTCATGCAAGACAAAAAGGAATCTTCTGTTTGCACTGTGAGATTTCAAGCTCAAATCTAAAGAGCGTGGACGTGGTTGGGCATGATTTTGTGAATCACCTACAGCAACAAACAAAAGCGGGCATAATTCTCCTGAAGTCAGTAGAGTTGAGCATGTTTATACGAATGAGTCATTTGGCCCAAACTCATTTGGAGTCTTTGCAGTATCACACCTCTGAATCTTCAGAGGTTTTCATAGAGTCATTAATATCGAGGCTGTATGGTACCCAGGGTAATTATCCATTATTGCTTGAGCCTGGCCCTGGAGTTATTCACAATATGTTGCCTCATTAGTATAATATAATGGGAAAAAAAAAAACCTCAAGAAACAGAAACAAACTAGAAACTAGGAAAATAAGAGTGCTAAAAAGAGAAGAGTGTGAAGAAAATAAACACAGCAGGGTGAGGTCCTCTGATGGTGTAAATCAGCCTCACCTTCTGTGAGACTCTGCCACTTTACACCCTGTGATGCTCTGGCCCATGATTATTAGGAAAGTATGTTGTTGATATGCTCTATAATGGCTTCCATTACCAGCCCATGCTAAAAGAAGCAGCTGGTGAAAGTTATGTTTATGTTCCACAGATGGATCAGCAACGGCAGGCACATAGCTCTGTGTCTGGTAAACAGGTGTTTGACTTTATATTTGCTAGCTAGCCAGAAGAAGTCGTATTCTTGATTAGGGGTACAGGCAAAGAGATCAATTTAGTTGTTGAAGAAACTATTCTTTTTGGTTGCATTTTATCCTTTTTTTAAATAGCAAGTAATGTCCTGAAATACATCCCTTTTATCAGCATAGCCCAAGTGACTGGGAAGAAAAATGAGCAGAGGGGCAAATATCCCCAAACTGATGGAGATATTCAGATGATACTGTCTCACCTCCTTCCTTTCTTGTTAATTTTCAATGAAGAAGGAAGCACTTAGGCTTCAGAAAAAGGTGCCTATATGGAGTCAAAGCTTCCCATGCCAAAGGAGCAACTTCACCAGTTGCTGCACTGTAGAACAGGGCTAGTTGAAATTACAGCAGAGTTTAGCTATGCCTTTACTGGTAGGTGGAAATATAATCATAGAATCAAAGAATAGTTAGGGTTGGAAAGGACCTTAAGGTCATCTAGTTCCAACTCCCCTGCCATGGGCAGGGACACCTCACGCTAAACCATGTCACCCAGGGCTTTGTCCAACCTGTCTTTGAACACCGCCAGGGATGGAGCATTCGCAGCTTCCTTGGGCAACCCATTCCAGTGCCTCACCACCCTTACAGTAAAGAACTTCTTCCTTATATCCAATCTAAACTTCCCCTGTTAAAGTTTTAACCCATTACCCCTTGTTCCATCACTACAGTCCCTAATGAAGAGTCCCTCCCCAGCAGCCCTATAGCCCCCCTTCAGATACTGGAAGGCTGCTATGAGGTCTCCAAGCAGCCTTCTCTTCTCCAGGTTGAACAGCCCCAACTTCCTCAGCCTGTCTTCATACGGGAGGTGCTCCAGTCCCCTGATCATCCTCATGGCCCTTCTCTGGACTTGTTCCAACAGTTCCATGTCCTTTTTATGTTGAGGACACCAGAACTGCACACAATACTCCAGGTGAGGTCTCACAAGAGCAGAGTAAAAGGGCAGGATCACCTCCTTTGACCTGCTGGTCACGCTCCTTTTGATGCAGCCCAGGATACGGTTGGCTTTCTTTGCTGTGAGCGCACACTGAAGCCAGCTCATGTTCATTTTCTCATGGACCAACATCCCAAGTCCTTCTCCACAGGGCTGCTCTGAATCTCTTCTCTGCCTAACCTGTAGCTGTGCCTGCATTTGCTCCAACCCAGGTGTAGGACCTTGCACTTGTCATGGTTAAACTTCATGAGGTTGGCATCAGCCCACCTCACAAGTGTGTCAAGGTCCCTCTGGATGGCATTCTTTCCTTCCAGGGTATCAACCCAACCACACAGCTTGGTGTCATTGACAAACTTGCTGAGGGTGCCCTCAATCCCACTGTCCATGTCAGCGACAAAGATGTTGAACAAGACCGGTCCCAACACCGATCCCTGAGGGGCACCACTCGTTACTGGTCTCCAGCTGGACATTGAGCCATTGACACAACTCTTGTGCATGCGGCTATCCAGCCAGCTCTTTATCCACAGAGTGGTCCATCCATCAAATTGATGTCTCTCCAATTTAGAGACAAGGATGTCGTATGGGACAGTGTTGAACGCTTTGCACAAGTCCAGGTAGATGACATCAACGCTCTACCCTTGTCCATCAGTTCTGTAGCCCCATCATAGAAGGCCACCAAATTGGTCAGGCAGGATTTCCCCTTAGTGAAGCCATGCTGGCTGTCACCAAGCACCTTGTTGATTTTCATGTGCCTTAGCATGCCTTCCAGGAGAATCTGCTCCCAGATTTTGCCAGGCACAGAGGTGAGACTGACTGGTCTGTAATTCCCTGGGTCATCCATTTTCCCCTTCTTGAAAGTGGGGGTTATATTTCCCTTTTTCCAGTCGTCAGGAACTTCACCTGACTGCCATGATTTTTCAAATACGATGGACAGTGGCTTAGCATAATCCTCTTTTTAATAAGGAATGTTTTGCACACCAGTTCCGACACCTGTAAATTTAATACTTACATGTGCACAGCCAGCACAGAAGAAGAACAATTTATTTTCAGCTTATTCAGAGTAAACCATTTATTTCCACTGTGTTTATTCATTTCTGATTGCTCAGAAAGCCAAAAAGCAACTGTTTTTTTTTCTGATCTCTGGATGACAAATGCTTCTAGATGGAAGAATGACAAAATGTAAATGCCTGGGTGAATATCATTCACCCTAAAATATGTTAAACTCTGAGGGTTTGGGAGCATTTTCACAGATACCCACCAGTAGGCTGAATACTCATTAATAATTAATATTATGACTCTGTGAATCATAGTGATTCAGATTCAGCACTTCTAGTTGCAAATCAGATTATTATTTTATTCTTTGACCAGCTCTAGGGAAAGCTCCATAGTATGTAATGCAAAGAAGTAGCCTAAGGGAATAGACCAGGCTGGCATCATTTGCCTAAAACTTGCCCACACTGCAATTGGGTGTTGATCCTTCTGGCAGAAGGTTAAATATATCCTGCTGAGTCCTTGAAACTAAGGCAGGCACAAGTGGTTCTCCAAGACAAGAGATGACCTAGGGAAAGGGAAGAGCAGCTGAGACAGCTGAAGAACCTGGGGTAGGTCTGAAGAGATGTTTCACCCTCAGCATTGTTAGCTTGTTATCATGCCTGTTTTATTGAAACCAAACTGCTCAAAGGGGCGGCTCTGGAATCAACGCATTATGTCGGAAAGGTGGCTGTTTAAATGAAGTGTGAGCAGTGCGTGTTTTCAAGCTTCTGTTGTACATGTAATATATGAAGGAATAGTGAGAGCAGCAGGTGTTGTGGAAATTTATGGAGGAGCAGCAAGCCCAGGCAGCAGCCCCACAGGAAGAGCAGTGACAGTTACTGCAGCAGATGGTCTTGAGAATTATGAATGTGGGACCTATCCCCAGCTGCCCCTATAACCAGGTCCTTTTTGAGCAGGAACCAACGAGATGTTGACTCCAGGCTTACATGGTCATCTTGAGCACTGGGACTGGTGGTGGTCAGGGTAACCAGCCACTCTAGATCCATGCTGAAGAAGGGTGACCTGAGCTGTTCATATTGATCTCTGAGCAGTGGTACTGCTGCTGTCTAGGAGAAGTACATCTTGAACCAGTTGGGAATCCCAGAATAGAAGTACTGATAAAGGCTCATGGAGGAATTTAACTACCCAGACATCTGTTGAGTAACAAATACAGCTGAACATGCATCATCGCAGAGGTTCCTAAATTATAGTGAAGACAACTTTATGATGCAGAAAGTAGAGACTCCTGAGGAGAAGCCATCCTGGATCTACAGGAGTATATTAATGAAATTTGCAGATGAAACTTTGCAAGTGCATTAAAAATACAGCAGCACTGTTTTAGGATTGACTTCAGCAGAGTTTCATATGTGTTTAGGATGAACTGCCTTCCTTATTTGTTTATTAATTTTGACTGTTAGACAAGTAAACAGAAGTTCAAGCCTACCTTCTCCTGCCTTTAAACCTGTTTGCATTGTCCATGCATGCCAGACATTTGAGCTCTGCAGACTCTTAACTAATATACTTTGCAAACAGCTCTCTTGGACAGCACACAGCTCACAATGGAGATTAAGAGAATTAGAAAAATGGGTAGGTAATAGCACTGCGCCATTCCCCTTCAAAAATGCAAGTGTGTACCTTTGCAGAAAAAAATCATTTGAAACAAATGCTGAAGAGGATAAGGAATTTTAAGAAGCAGAAATATTGAAAAGATAATAATGAACAGCAAATAAGTCATGAGTTTTCAATAAGGCACAATAGCAAAGGAGGCCTATAAAATTTTGGAGTACAAACAAAGAGATATTACATCACAGGGTAAATTTCAAACAGGGCTTTTCTTTTCCCTTGTGGGTTTCAGGAGGTATAAGATAGGCTTGTGCACTGAAACAAGCAACAAAAAGGTTACACTGATTATAATGATGAACTGACAGTAAGACTTATGAATTTTTGAAAAATCTCTTGGAAGTTTTGATTTACAGTGACACTTACTGGAAAAAGGAAAAGCAAAGGAGGCGGCCACAAAACCTGATTTGTATCCCGAAACAAGGGAATCTGTAAAATCTTAGGGGAAAAAAAAAATCTCTTAAAATTTCTCACATAAATCAGCTAATCTTTGCCATCCTCAAGGAAAAAGCAGCCCTGAATGAATCCTGCTTCATTCCTCAGATTCAATACAGGGATAATGCCAGGTTTACTCTCTAATGATTCATTTCCGTACATCTGGAGATGGTGTCTTTTAAAAATTTAAGGGGGAAAAACCCAAGGGTTTTGGGTTTTATTTTTTTTCTCTCTTGCCAAGTTTTAATTTGATGCATTCATTTCTCCATTACTGTTCTGCCCCAAAGTTTATTGTCTCAAGCACTGCACAGCAAAACCTTTTTCTCATCTCTTCAGGAAGGTAACGTTCCAATTTACATCTGTAATATCTGTATGATCATCTCAGCGGGATGGTAACCTTAGTAATCTTCCTGCTAAAACCCTGTTCATTAGCTTTATGATAAAATGCCTGTGTTATTCCCAGAAAAGAAAAAAACTTTTCATTTGTCTACATTAATCCTGACATCTGCTATAGGTCACGTAGAGAAAGAAGTCTAGCTCCAAAAGTGATTCCAATTCAGTGTTGTATTAAGACTATTATCAAATAATTCCACTCCACCCGATCAAAGGCTTTCTCAGCATCTAGTAACATTCATGGTATTGAGCATTTGCCTTTTTGAAGATTTTTTGACTCCCCACAGCATCACCTAAAAGGTCGCTGAGGGGTCAGGGAGTGTTCAGGTCTTTGATGAGAAAGAACCAAGAACTCCTTTTAATCTTAATATTCAACTTCAGTGTACACGTACACACACAAATAAGTACTCTTGGGAACACTAATCTCGGTCCAGGCACAAGCAATAGTGGAAGACTTTTTTGTCAAAGGTGCAATCTAAGAACTACCTTTGAAAGCAAGGAGTTTGGAAGGAGATAAAAAAAATGAATGAGGATCCCTCTCTGGTTATTACTTTGGTCTGAATTCCAGTTTGAATTGGACTCAGACAAAGAAGATCGGAGACAAGCATGCTATCAACAAGATAGCAGCAGTGATATACAAACCACCACTAATGAACTCCCTTTACATGTTCAGGAAGCCTACAAAGAAAGCCTACAAACACCCAGCTGAAGGCTCTTCTTGCTTCAGGCCGGATGGATTTGCTGGCTGTTCTTGCTCAAAGTTAATTTGTAATCTACAAAACCAGTCTCCTATTAATAGACAGAAACAAAACCTAAAGGTAAAAAAAATGGTGACAGAATATATCAACCTGAAGCTTCAATTTTTCTGTCTGCTGCACCTGAACTGGCATACACAGTCACTGAACTGAGTCTCTTCAAGGTTTCAGCACTGCATTGAAAGCAAAGGACAGTAAGAAAAGTCACTTGTGGATCCCAGTTTCTACGAGGGAAGGTATAAAAGACTCTGAACTGTCCCTGAGCAAGGTTATTAACTTGAAAAGTACTTAGCTGAAACTCTTTCCTGGTGCATTGACTCATGCCCTCCACTTCAGCAAAGCCAGATTACAGTGATTTGCCAACGATTTTGTGGCTGCAGAATGCAGGAAGGTATTTTAATTGCATTTTCCCCTGTGATCAGTTCTGTTGCCATATTCTGTGGTTGAAATCTTATTGGAATGCTTTAAATAGAATAAAGACTTGGTCGGCTCTTCTGTCCCTTCACCCTTCCTCTTCCCCACCCAAACTGGTCAAGGTTGTTTGGATGGAAATGCTACTTTTATCTGAAAGGCTTTTTACCTAGAAAGCAACTGCAGATGAACAGCGCCAACAGGAACTCTGTAATCACTGGCTGGGCTTTTCTCACTTTTCCCAAAGGAAGTACGTTGAAAATTGTGTTTCAAGATTTGAAATGGGGTGATGTGAACTGACTCAGAGCCATCCCTATGCTGATTTGCCCCAGCTGAAGCAGCACACACACACACACACACACACACACCCCTTTGCATTATGTGTGAATCAGCTGTTTAGTAATCAGTGGGATCCAGATTCTGGTGGGTTTACTTCCACAAAGGACAGGAAGAAGGTTTTTGTCACATTTTGCTCTGTGATTGGCTCTGAAGTCTTAACAGTGGATGAAATTTCACTTTGGTCTTATTTGCATTAATACAAAGATGGTTAGACAAATAGTGTCTGCTTGCTCTTTGCCCATATATACTCACCTTGAGTACTAAGAGTAAGTATAACTTGCCTCGCTCACCTTTAATGGCCTGTCTAGTGGAGGTGCACAAATGATGATCCTCAGGTCCTTCAGCTCTCTTGAGACATGGCCTCTTCACTTCTATCTCCTGAATCGCCTGGTGGAGCAGCTGATCTCTTTCTGTCAAACAAGACCATCACTTCTGTTACCTGCCTGCGATCAACACCACTCCTGCAAAGACCTATTTAATATCAGGTATCAGTTCCCATGAAATGTTTGTGTGGAAGCAGGACTTGGATTTATGCTGGGGAGGAGGAGCGGGGGTGGAAGCATGGGTTGATTAGGTCCCCTTGGTTAGATTGGATCTAGTTCCTATCTTGTGCTAATCCACCCCAGACTCCTGGCGGTAAGACTCAAAGCAGCATAAAGCAGATAACAGGAGAAGGCGGAGGGGGCTGGTCAGGGGTGTTTGTAAATAAATCTGGAACCTGGGATCTGCAGCCTGCTTGGTTATGGTTTTGTGAAAACACAATTACAGCATAAAATGAAAGCAGGCTGTGCAATGAAAACAAGAGGAATGCCATCACCCAGGTTGGCTTGTACTGCAAACCACCCTGGTCAATCATCCGAGATGAATGGAGGTATCCGCTGAATAACCTCACTTTGCAACTTTTATGTGAAGGCTTGATAAATGAAGTCAGGGAGAGGTACAAGAAAGTGATTAAAACCAGCCTGCACAAAAGGCAATGATAACCTCCCTGAGCTTGAAACTTTTTTTCCTCTTCTGCCTGAGTTTGTTGGATAATTAACCCTTTCGTCCTTCGGTCTCTGTACACAAACATTTGTGTATTTGCACAACACAGCTGCCTCTAGACAAGCAATTTGTCACTGGTAATAAATTGGACTCAGTGGCAAGGCCAGCCACTTCCAATGGGGATGCTTGCAGCCAGGTACCATGATCTGGAATTTCATAGTGCCCTCACTGTAGCAGAAAATCTTTTCCAAAGTTTAGCTCACTCATTTCTTGTCTCTGGGCTCTCTAAGCTGCCCAGTTGCTCACTTGGGCACCTCCTTTTAGGCATCCTCATAGAATAACATGCCCCAGGCCACACTGGCCAAATAGTTTTAGGGAATGTCAGTCGGTTGTCGTAATGAGCTCGAATGGGATATTATTATCACTAAAACACCAGGCAATTCTGGCATTATTGTCAAGCAGGGGCCAGGATTTCTCCTTGTGGACCTGGAACCATCATCTGTCGTCTCTTGAGGTAAAACCAGTCACTGACTTGAAGGATGACCTGAGCGTTCAGAAAAGCATTTTACCCATGTATGGCATAGTCAGAGATCAACAGATTTCCCATTCATAGTTATAGTCCACTGCACTCCTAGGTGCTTGCTGGGGTTAAAAAAAAAAGGGACTATCAAAGGGGTCTCACAGACAGACCTTCGTCCAAATGTGGTCAGAGGCAGCTGCTTATAGTTTGGTTGCTTCACTTTTGGTCCGCCCAACTGCATTAGGATACCAAATCGAGGGTTTATGGAAAAACAGCTGTCGAGAGTCTGAGTCTGAGATGGGCTCAGGTGAAGATCTACAAGCTAGCATTAATAAAATATACAGAAGCTTTCTTGCACATCAGAGAAATAAGCTCTTCTAGGGGGAACCCCCCCTAGACTTAGCTGAAAGAATGGCAGCAGCACCACTGCCTGTGGTGCTGAACAAAGCTCTTTAAACTCTTACTGAGAAGCAAAACCTCGGCTGAGAAATGTCAACAGAGCTTTTACGACAGCCTGAAAATTAATTGTCCTCTGAAATGGCAGTCCTCAATTTAGGCTTAATCTCTCTTGCATTACTCAGGTAGCTATTGTGAAGTATCACCCCGCTTGCTGCTCTCGCTGACAGTTTCTATATCCCTTCACCATGCCCACTGGAAGGAAAACAATCACATAAATCCCTCTTGCAGGGCATGCTCAAACTCGTTTCTTATTGTGGGACAAATTTATGGTCGCATTTACTATGTAATCTTTAAAGGGGACTGGCTGGTGGTTGAAGGTCTAAAATTACAGATGACCTGCGTGTAAGCAAAAGTGGATTTGTTAAAGAATCTGTATTTAAGGGAGGAGGGAAGGGGGTGAGAGGGGAGCTGGATGTTCCTTTGTAGTTTATGACCTTTCCTTAAAAAAAAAAAAAAGAAATACAAAAAATCAACCAAACCAACAACCTTCAGGAAAGGTAGAAAAGCAGTTCTCATTCTGCAGCTCTAAATATCTGTTTATCCCACTGCCATGCTGTAAGCATGCCCAGTTGGGATGATTTAGCACTCTGCTGATGACTACCAACGGAAGGACTTCATGTGAAAAGGTAGTCTGCCACAGCTAATGGGCTCTTGTTTCAAAGGGATGCTGTGTGTACATTACTAGTGTATGGAGAAGGTGCAGAAAGGCCTCAGCAGACATTAGGAATGGAGTGTTGTTGATGATGAAAAGGCACTTTGCTGTTGAGGGAATGGTGGGAGAGAAAAGGCGTATCTGTCTTTTTGATTAGAAATGCATGCTTCCTTTCATCATCTGAGCTGAAAAATTGGCTTCTGCTCTTGGTTTATGAAACCATTTTTCTTTTCCCTTCCTTCCCAGGTTTGCAAACTCTTTAATAAATTAGTTACTGTGAGGTGCATGGGTGCAACAATCACCTTAGAGGCTTTTCCCAAATGCATCTTTAATATTTTATAAGTATTTAAATAGATTTATTCAATGTGAACAGCCTGATTTATTAACACTGGCACTCTGGCATGGAAAGGGGGTTCAATACAAATTATGTTGTGTCAGAAATTTTTAGCAGCTAGATCTCAATTTACCAATGGATTCTTGGAAGTCAGGAAATAATAGGACCCACTCCATGTTAATATTTAATCAGGCTTTGGTGCCAGATAGAAGCTGTCGAATGAACGAGATGCAATGAGGGGAGCCCTGTATTACATTAAAATATACATCATGTGTGTTCTCTTCTTTGATGGAGGGGAGAAGTGGGTCAGTTATTATGACAAGTAAGAGGCTCAGGCCTGCCACTGAATAAAGATGCTTTGTCAGATTCTGAGAGCTGACTAGATGAAGTTAAAATCTCATTGCAGACATGTGTGGGAAACCTGAGTGACCAGGTATGGAACTTGTTTTCCTTTTGATGTCCTGCGTCTAATAGATGCCTTTCCTTGTATGCATTCAGAAAATATTATATGACAACAGAAACACTGAACCTGACATGATAGCAGAGCTGTTTTGTAAAGCACTTTATAATGATGCAGTGAGAAGGGTGCAATTAAACCAAATGCTGTCCTGCATAACTAATGTACCAAGGGGAAGGATGGCTTTCCTGGTCCTCTGTAGATCAGTACTCTGTAGTTTATTGTTACCCAAAATTCATTTTCACTCTAGAGTGCATAGCCTGGTACATTACCCTCATAAAAACAAATTGGGTTTATTTCTGTATGGAAACAACCACCAGTTTCCTCAATGCAGAGTTTGGGTGTAAATTTAAAATTCAAGGAAGCTTGGAAGCAAAGTTTTTCACAGTAGTGTTCACTCACTTGAATGGAATAGATGAACATAAGGGCATGATTGCAGAAGAGCTCTGCGTATCAGCAGGGCTTTCCTAAATCACTGCTCCCAGTGTGGAGCCAGTCAGATAAGTTAGGAGACTGCTCAAAAACTGGCAACATCTGATTTCAGCTGTGTACTACTGACACAGCTTCCCCAGTCCACCCTGCAAGGCAGGGGCTAACTAGGTGAATGGGCAGTAAAGAAGAAAGCTTCAGTCAGCAGCAGTGGGACTGACACTGGGTAAAAAGGAGAAAAGAGGACATGTCAGATGCCACTGATCTTTCCCTGGAATATTTTAGGATGAGCCAGCAATGAAGAAAAACCCTCCAGTGGTAAAGACTGCCTAGCCATAATTGTATGCTCATGTGCAAGGGTTGAGTTCTTTGGAGCGTATGAACTAGGGTGGTGTGGTTGAAGTGCCTGGAATAACACTCGTGGCCACTGGCTGAAATTTTGACCTGTGGCTGAAGTTCTGGGACAGTGAGCTAGTCTTCTGGTAGAAACTTTATTAATTCCCTTTTCTCATTTAATTATTTCTATCCCTTTAAACATGTAATGTGTTTAGTTTCCCTGTGTGCTTGCTTTATTTGAAGAAAGAAAGAAAAGTTGAACTGCTATTACTTTGTAATGTTAATATTAAGAAGGCTGGACGATGCTCCAGTAGGACAACTGGGTCAGGAAAAGACCCCACTCCAGACATCTGGTTCTGTACTGTTTGCTTGGAATGGCTTACTGTAAGGTTAGACTACCAGTGAAGAACTCCTTAGTTTGTGCTGTGATAGTTGCCTGTTCTTGTTAGTATCATGTTCTGAATTCTTTAAACTTAATATTTGCAAGGGGGGAAGATAAATGGGGCAGAACACTGTGCATGATTTCTTTATGCTGTTTATGGTTAAGTTGAATTTGGTTTTGTGGAGAGTATAACTACGATGGTTTTGATGAGATGGTGGTAGATCCAGAGCTGGGTCAATGCTACCTATGTTACTACTTACAGATCTCCACCCGATCTGCCAAAAGGCAGACTGGCTGCTCAGAGTGGGATTGTTACTCTCTTCTACATGGTAATAGTTTTAGCTATTGTTAATATATACTTATACAGTTCCTTAAAAGTAAACAGATATTGTAACCTACTTCATAGGAAACAGTAATACAGAGTTGCACCTTTATCAGCTGTGAGAACAAACATAATTCAGAAAAGAATAAACTTGTTTCCATTCCAGGGATGAAGTGTGTGCCTTGGCATACAGGATTATATGATTACAGGCTTGGGGGACAACAGGTCCAGATTTCTGTTGAAGTATCAGCCATGCTTTCCTGCCTCTGGGCAGCAGTTATTTAGGAGTTACCTATGTTTTGATGGGTAAGGAAACATGTCTTTCTGCTTTATCCTGTTAAGATGATCTGCCGTTTAGGCTGTCATTTGCTGCTTGTGTGATTGGAAAAAAAAAACAAACCATGCCACAAAGTTAACTTCTACATTCACTTATTTGCTTCTTTTCGACCACTGCAATTTTGAGTATCTAATCTCAACACTCTTAGTAATGGCATTTTAAGGCTTCACTGTAGCACACTGTGTTCAAGGAAGGTGATCTCTTTAGTAGGCATTTTGATAGAGTCACAGCAAAGACTGTATTACTTTTATCTCAGGAAAATAATACCATCATCTACTCCAAACTCAAATACGTATGAGCAGATGTTCCTAAATTTTTTTCAAGCTAGGGCTAGGTGGGAAAGAAGAGGATGAGAAGAATATCAGAGGGAATAGGGCAAGTTTCACAGTTCAAATATATGAAGCTTAGCTATATCGGTATTAGGAAAGATACTAGGAGAGCTATTGTTATTAAAACACCATAGAAAGATAAACAGGTTTAATAGTTAATTGTTTTTTCAGCTCTAAGTTTCACTGTGCAGAAGTTCATCTGGACCTCTGAAGGATTTGGCCAGCTAGAAATATGCCTGAAAGTGCTGAAATTTCAGCCTCCTTCTTCCTAAAGGAGACAGCAATTGAAATAGAGGAACATCTTCTGCTGTCTCCCACTGATCGGGGGATTTCTTGGAGAAATGGCCCTGCTCTGGTCTTCAGGACAATTACAAGGTACTACTTTGTGCATGAGCGAGGCCAAAGCAGTTATCTAGGAAATCTGAATGTGATTTTAATTATAGGTTTTATTATTGGAGCAGCCGTAACCAAGATTGTAACAGTCAATTATATATGGAGCTTTATTGGCAAAGGGTGTTTAATATTAAACAATCATGGCTAACCGTGAACATACCTGATATAATAATGAACTTTATTTGAAAGATCAGCATGAGATAAAGGAGTTAAATTTAGCTGTACAGTCTGTAACAATAACACAAGGGAATATCGTGAATTCATTTTATTTGGAAACAGAAAACTCTGGATGTTGTTAGATTATCTTTTTGAGAGCATAACGTAAATGTTTGGTAACCAGAGATTTGTATTGCTAGAGAGAATCACTTTCACTAAAGCCACAGTAACCGAATGTTTAAATGTGCAGGGCTGAACTGTCAAAGCACGTAACAACATCTTTAAATAAAATGGAAGCGGCTAGAGCTGCTTCTATCAGTGTCCTCCTCTGACAGCTGCTTAAGGTTCGATTCTGTTCCCATTGAAGTCAGTGGAAAATCTCCTGGTAACCTGAAATGATTGATGGCATGGACCTTACCAGAAAAAAAAGGGGAAGTCTCAAAGCATTGAGAAAGGTGCACTGCTGTCCCACAGCATGTGGGTTATTTGTATACATGCAGAATGATATTGCCAACCCACAGCATTGATAAGTGTGGCTAGAGTCCCTTGCAAGAGCCTTATACCCCCTCCATGAGATTTTTTCAGTCTTCCAGTTCTAAGTCACTGGAAACCTTTGGCAGTCACAATAATCAGGTTTTCAGCTTAACTACAGGCTCAGAAAACCTCTTACACTATTTCTAGTTTCTTTTCATTAAAGCTGTCAATCTCTGATAGCTAACGGTAGGCTCAAATCAGAAAGGTTCATGTGGCAAAATCTCCCTAACTCCACAGCTATGAAGCACTGAGGAAGTAAGTGCTGACCAGCCCATATTCCTGGTATAGCAGTGTTGGTTGGTTTTTATTTTAACTTTATATTTGTGTCAATGGCTACATGGACTATTTGGCCTAAATGTGAGTCCTGATGCAAGCAAGGAGGCAGGATGTAAACCAGTTATGGGATGCAGGGGCAAGGCAGGCTGTCCTAGGCATGACCAAGATCTGTGCAGTGGGTTTTACCTGCAGACATCCTCAAGACCTCACTTCCAGACTGGCAGGAGGATGAGCCACATCTCCTCTTCAGTCTCATTTTTTCAATTCTCAGAGGCTAAGCTAAGACCCAGTATTATGGATTTATATCTGGGCTTTCTCTTCAGTCCACTCCCCTTCTGATTGCTGCTGTTTGGACCTGGTAGACCAATATTCTGCAAACAGATGGTGTCTTTATCAGCATGTAAACTGAAATACTCCAACCAGAGCTCCCTCCTGCTTCTTGGTTTCTAAAATGCAGCTCAAATTCTTAATTGGGTAACCTGAACTTCTCTGTAATCTGCGTATCAGTGTGTATGGATGTAATGGACATGTCAGTGCTGTGTACGCTAACACTTTTAAGTCATATAATGGGCCTGTTCACTAGAAGAATAAACACACCATGCAATTTAACTGCAAGCTGGGGGGATACGGAGGAGAATGTTCGCTGAAAGGTTATCTACAGTGTAAAAGCAGTTATTTTCCTCCTGCAGTTTTTGAGGGTGATCTGCAGCAGAGGTATTCTCCTTAATTTTGAGAATTGATTGTCTAAAGGAAAGGAAATGTAGAGAATTTCTTCTTGCAAGCACTTTTCAGCTCTTAAGAGGCTTTTGTGCTGCCTGTGCAAGTCTACAGTTGGATACTGCAGAATACAGTACTTTAATGCAGAGAAAAGGATTAATAAAAAACCCCAAAGGTGTAAAATATAACAAAAGGCAATATTTAGCGTCACACTGGTAGGAGAAACAGCTGAAGTCAATGGGAGTTTGATCCATGAAAGCACAGCAGGACCATGCCATATATAGGAAAGCACAAGCTGTCAAAATTAAGTGTGTAGTTTATGGTATGCTTTTTGTTTGAAATAACATATTACCTCCTATTTATAGTAAAGCAGACTAAACAGTTCTATATGTCTGCATTTAAGATTTTCAGTCAGAGAGTAAGGATACCTTTTACCTGGAAATTGTAGAGTCAGAGCTCAAAATTGTTAGCAGTGATACAAATGAATACCTGTGATTTTACAGGCATATAAATCTCTAGCTTCTGCTTACATAGCCCCGCTCTGTCTGCAGTATTGGCTGGATCTGACGATCACTGCTGGAGGACTGCTAGGAAACAAATGAACTTGCAATGCATAGTATCTTAAAGGAAACTATAAATGGGATAGGTCAAGGACTAGGCATGTAAGCGACAGGAAAAAATCTTCCTTTTAGTTTATACAACTCCTGCTTCCATGTCTGTGCAGATTCCTAATAAGGAATAGTAACTTTTTGAGGCACTAGGCCT